GCGGTGCTAACCACTGAGCCACCGTGCCCAAACTTACCTGATGGACAGCATTCTCACTGCACACAATCCCACCTGGTGTCAGGGCTGGGAACAATTTTACTTAAAGCTCAGTACACAGCAGTAATGACACAACAGGGAGACACTTCCATGTTAAAAGTCTTTATTTAAATAGTGATCCCTGAAGGCAGCATGGCACAAGGGGCATGGTGGTCAGGTGACCCACGAAAAGCAAACCAACTTTTTACAGAATGCATGAAAATAAACCACAGAGAGCTTGGGAGACAGGAGGGTAGACATTTGAATATCAAACGCGAGATAAGCTCTGACCCTTTCAAGTCTTGCAAAATCTCAGTATGGGCGTCATCCGTTTAAGACAGAAATGGGGAGGAATTTCTTCTCTCAGAGAGTGTTCTTTACCACAGAGGCTGGGTTGTTCACTGTACGCTAGGCTGAGATTTCAGGGAATCGAGGGTTATGCAGAAAAGGCAGGAAAGTAGGTTGAGGATCGTTAGATCAGCCACAATCTCATCGCATAGCAGAGCAGGCATGATGGGCTGAATGGCCTACATCTGGTAAAATGACTGTTGCTATTCCCCCACCTTGTGCCACTCTCCCTCATACTTGGGAGAGAGCCGGAGCACCCGGAGGAGACCCACACAGATTAGGGGAGAACGTGCAAACTCCACACAGACAGTTGCCCGAGGGTGTGATCGAACCTGGGTCCCTGGCGCTGTGAGGCAGCCGCACTGACTGTTGAGCTGCTGTAACACCCCTAAAGCTATTCAACCCATCATAACTGTGCCGGCCTCCCCCCACTCCCTATAAATGTTTTACCTCCAACAACAACCCAGTTCTGCCTCCGCCACACTCAGATCACATGCCCTTGCGAGGAAGATTTTTGCTTGTCTCACCTTTGCTTCTTTTGCTGGTCACCTAAATCTCTGATTGTTGCCTCTTTCCTTACTCGATGCACTCTATCCAAGCCCCTCACAACTTTGATCAACTCGAGCGAATCTCGTCTTGAGAAGTACTAGCACAGTTCCCTCCTGCCTATCCAATTAACCGGGGCTCCTTATCTTCAGAGCAGCCCCCTTGAATCTTCTCTGCGCTCCCCTCTCCTTAAAGAGGTCTCTCACTTCAATACCCCCATGGCTTCTGGCCTCTGGCCCAAGCTTTGGCTTGTGCCCTCTGGAGCGAAGTTGGGAGAAAGGCGGATCTGCTCCCCACTCAAAGCAAGCATCCCAAAAATATTTGACAAGAGTCCCAGAAACACTAGAACTGGAGGAGGATTACAACGACAGAAGACAGGGTAAGTGCTGCTCTCTCATGCTATGTACAACGAACAAACATTCAGAGACAAATTCCCTGATAAATACTCGCTCAGTGAAGCTGAACTGCAAATCACTTCACAAAGGTAAATGAAGAACAAATTATTTGGAACTTGTTTACCATCTAAGTTTAGAACTGGCCAACACAAACGTTTCCTCTTCTCTGGCCTTTTAGCTTTCTCCATTTTTGGCTTGATGTTCTCTGTGGGGATGGTGGTTGTGGGGGTGGCGGGGGTGGGTGCGGCGGTGTTTTCACGTTGCTGTCTCACAGTGGGCTCTTCATCCTCAGTGTGCATCACAGTTGGACTTTGCTCAGGATCAATGTCTGTTTTCCACCAGGCAAGAGGAGGGGGAATGATGGGCAAGGGAGTCGGTCAAATTGTCCTCTCCTTCCCCCGAATACAGAAGTGCTGGGTCCAATCATAATGAGCCAATACCTCCTTTCTCATTCCCTTAAGTTTTTTCTGAGCGGAATGGAAGCGGTTGCTAGATGGGTCAGGAATGGGGTTCTGATGAAAGGTCACCAGACTTGAAATGTTAACTCTGTTTCTCTCTCTCTCTCTCTCCACAGATGCTGCCAGACCTGCTGAGTTTCTCCAGCATTCCTAGTTTCTTGGCTTAGGAATGACAGACCGTGTCCAAGGGCCCATCCCGAATGGACCCAGAAGGAACTTACAAGTCTGTTTTGTTTAACCCAATTGATTTACTTCAAACCCTTGAAGTAACAGGAGCGAAGGAAAGCACTAATGCTGTGGCAGCACTTGCTCCTTACCCAGAGCTGCCCAATCCCATTCGTTCGGCCTTTTACATGTGACTACAATCCTTTTGTAACATTCCCCTTCTCAAGCACTTGGGAGGTCCAACTTGTAATCCTGTCAGACACTACACCTCAGTACAAAGGGGTCAATTTATCACCTGAGGGGTCCTGAAGAAGGGTAATACCCGAAACGTTGACAGCTCCTTTCCTCCAGATGTTGCCTGGCCTGCCATGTTCTTCCAGCCTCCTGTTTGTCTACCGTCAATTTATCAGCCTTTTAAAGGATTATTATGGGATGTGGGTATCAGTGGCAAGGCCATTCCCTAATTGCCCATGAAAGCCAAACACATTGCTCTGGAGTCGCATGTAGGCCAGACTCTAATAAGGATAGCACATTCTTATCTACTGAAGGGGACCAGACTGTAATCATCACTAAGACAAGCTTTCATCTCTAGATTTTATTCATTGAAATTTAGCTTCCCATTTGCACTATTTGATTGTTTCTTGGATAGTTTCAGGCCTCTATTTCCCACTATCTTCTGCGGAACTGTTTCCTAGTTGTTGTTTATTCTTTGTGTAAAATAACTTTTCCTGATGTTAGCCCATCTTTCACTGTCTCGCGTTCAGTCAAGTCCCCCATTCTAATCTCATGGTTTAATTTAAAGTAATATTCTCTGCTTGATTAGCACACAGTCCACTGCTTCCATCATCAACTCCCTCCCCCACCGACGCTCAGTAGCAGCAGTATGTACCATCTACAAGATGCACTGCAGCAACTCACGAAGGCTCCTTGGACAGAACCTTCCAAACCCACAATCTCTACCATCTAGAAGGACAAGGGCAGCAGGTACATGGGAACACCGCCCCCCCTGCAAGTCTCCGAGCCACTCGCCAACCTGACCTGGAAATATACCACTGTTTCTTCAGTGTGGCTGGGTCAAAATCCTGGGATTCCCTCCCTATAAGGGCATTGTGGGTCTAACTACAGCACACAGACTGCAGCGGTTCAAGAACACAGCTCCCCCTACCTTCTCAAGGGGCAATTAGGGACAACAAAATGCTGACTCTCCACTTGTCTCTCATAAAAGAGTAATGAGAGAAAATGAATTTAATGTGATATTCTGGTAAACATTTTTCACAGTCTTAACAAATTTGAAAGTTACACTTTTTGTTTCTGACACACCGGGGGTGTCCTTTCCCCATCGTTGAGCTGTACAGCACAGAAACAGACCCTCTGGTCCGACCCATTCATGCCGACCAAATATCCTAAATTAATCTAGTCCCATTTGCCAGCATTTGGCCTATATCCCTCTAAACCCTTCCTATTCATGTACCCATCCAGATGCCTTTTAAATGTTGTAATTGTACCAGCCTTCACCACTTCCTCTGGCAGCTCATTCCATACACACACCAACCTCTACATGAAAAAGTTGCCCCTTAGGTCCATTTTAAATCTTTCCCCTCTCGTCTTAAACCGATGCCCCACTAGTTTTGGACTCCCCTACCCTGGGGTAAAAGACCTTGTCTATTTACCCTATCCATGCCCCTCGTGACTTTATAAACAAGGTCACCTCTCAGCCTCCGACGTTCCAGGGAAAATAGCCCCAGCCTATTTAGCCTCTCCCTGTAGCTCAAACCCTCCAACCCTGGCAACACCCTTGTAAATCTTTTCTGAACCCTTTCAGGTTTCACAACATCTTCCCTGTAGCAGGGAGACCAGAATTGAACCCAGTATTCCAAAAGTGGCCTAACCAATGTCCTGTACAGCCGCAATATGACCTCCTAACTTCTATAAATGCGCTGGCCAATAAAGACAAGCGTACCAAATGTCTTCTTCACCATTCTGTCTACCTGCGACTCCACTTTCAAGGAGCTATGAACCTGCACTCCAAGGTCTCTTTGCTCAGCAACCCTCCCCAGGACCCTACCATGAAGTGTATAAGTCCTGCCCTGATGTGCATTTCCAAAATGCAACACCTTACATTTATCTAAATTAAACTCCATCTGCCACTCCTTGGCCCATCTGATCAAGGTCCCGTTGTACTCTGAGGTAACCTTCTTTGCTGTCCAATTTTGGTGCCATCTGCAAGCTTACTGAGGCTGGTGGGCACCACAGGATATATAGAGTGCCATCTCCACAACATCCTGCTATGGTCAGGGAGGGTTTCCTTTGAGCCCCTGTGGTTGAGTTGGATCACTGGCTCTGCCGGGGGGTCCGTGAGCCATGCTCCTACAGGGACAGACATGGAGTTGAGCCTTGTCCACTGACACATGGCTCCCTGCTGATTGGCCGAGCTTCAGTTGGGGATAATTCAGCCTAATTGGTGAGGGCAGGGCTGGGGAGTGGAGTGGAGGGTAGAGGAGAGACTGGATTCCTCGGTCAGCAACCTCCTGAAGGAAGGGGAGAGAGAGAGAGTGATGCCTGAATTCCACTCAGGAGCAACGACAGTGCAAGGGGAGACAGTGTGCACCCATTCCTCATGCCTGCCATGTTTCAATGATCTGGACGCTAGAGTTTTACCGCAGCACGCAAAGAGGCCATTGGGCCCATTCTATCCATTCTGGCCATCAAAGGTTCCAATCCCATATTCCATGGCCTGGACTCACATAGTTTTTCCACGGCACACAGAGGCCATTGGGGCCATCTTATCCAATCTGGTCATCAAAGGTTCCAATCCCATATTCCATTGTTTAGACTCACATGGAGTTTTTCCACAGCACGCAAAGAGGCCATTGGGCCCATCCTCTCCATTCTGGTCATCAATCCCATATTCCATGGAGACTCCACACATAAGAAGGAATGGTCGTGTTGAGGTAGGAGGGAGCCAATGGTACCATTTTGGAGGTGAGGGTATGGGGGGGTTGCGTTGGGTGGAGGCCACTCCGAGTGGGCGAGAGAGTGCAACAGCCGGCGCTCAGAGCGCGTCGACCAGGTAAGAGGCATTGCCGGTTCCTACCCCAGCTCCGGCCTTGGGGAGCTCGGACACCAGGCTGACGCTGGTGTGAAAGGGTGAGAGGCGGGCGGCGAGGATGCCACCAGGCCGCCTGCACTGCCGGAGGTAGGTGCCCAGCCGTAGGCACAGCTTATGGTGGAGTGAGGCGTAGATGAAGGGGTTGTAGCAGGTGGAACTCATGGCCAGCCAGTGGCAGGAGATCTGCGCCACGTTGAGGTAGCGGGTATCAAGGAGGGTGAAGTCAACGTCCAGGTCCTGCAGCAGGTTGAGGATCTGGAGGGGCATCCAGCAGACGGCGAATGTTACCACGGAGACCACCAGGAGGGAGAAGGCCTTCCTCTTCCTCTTGTTCCACTGGAGGCGGTTCTGCTCGGCCGCCCCGGGGACCCGGCGCCTCCTCAGGTGAGCCGTGATGGCGCAGTAGGAGATGCTGACGGCAGACAGTGGCAACATGTAGGAGGCCAGCATCACGACGCACGAGTAGGCCAGGCGCTCGGCCTCCCGGCCCCGCCAGAACTCCTCGCACACGTTCACGTCATGACCCACCGTCCCCAACTCCACGTAGGCCATGTGGGCGGAGGCCGGGCTGGCCAGCGCCAAGGCCAAGGCCCAGATGGAGGCCACCACCAAGCCCTGGTGTCGGCGGCTCACCCGCTGCCGCACGGGGTGAGCCACCACCACGTAACGGTCCACTGCGATGGCCGTCAGCGACATCACCGAGACGTAGACCAGGGCAGACTGCAGCAGCGAGACCAGGTGGCAGAGGAAGCGGCCGAAGAGCCAGCCGCGGGGCTCGAAGGCGTACGAGAGGGTGGGGGGCACGCAGGCCAGGCACATGAGGAGGTCGGCCAACGCCAGGTTCCCGATGAAGAAGTTGGTGACGGTGTGGAGTTTGCGGTCTGCCGCGATGCTGCCGATCAGGAAGGTGTTGCCAATGCATGCCACGGCCATTAGGCCGCAGTATAGCAGGATAAAGAGCGACTTGTACTGCTGGAGGAGCACGGCGCCGGGGAACGTCACCACGGAGCTGCCGTTACCCGCCGTCCGGTTCTCCATGGCTGCCTCCCCTCATTGAGCTCCTCAACGCCGGCCCTTTACAACATAAAAACACAACAAACCCCTTCAGGAACAGGATGGATCTGATTACAGGAAAGAGTAGCGTCCTGCCCATAGCTCCCCTCCCTGTGGTGGGATGTTTGGGGGGTGAGGACCACTCTGGATGGAGCAGAAAGATATGCATTTTATTTCCAGCACCTTCCGTCATATCAAAAGTATTTTATTCATCAATGATGTTCATCTTTTCTGGAGAAGGGTCCGGGCCCGAAACGTCAGCCTTCCTGCTCCTCTGATGCTGCTTGGCCTGCTGTGTTCATCCAGCTCTACACCTTGTTACCTCTTATTAATCAATGATGTACTTTGGCTGTGTGTACTACAGGGGGCGGTGCCAGCTCATTTTTGCACAGCAAGATCACAGACATATGTAAGCACGGGCTGCCTTTGCTATCCCCTGCACCGCTCAGGGAGGTGATGGCCTAGTGGTATTATCGCTGCACTGTTAATCTAGAGATACAGGTAATGTTCTGGGTTAGAATCCTGGGTTCAAATCCTACCACGAGAGATGGTGGAATTTGAATTCACTAAATATCTGGAATTAAAGAGTCTAATAATGACCATGAATCCGTTGTTTATTGTCGATTGTTGGGGGGAGCCGAGCCAGCGATTCCCACACATCCTGTGAATGAATAAAAAAAACTTGTATACATCTGACTCTCACACTCACACACACACTCTCTCTCTCTCACACACACACTCTCACACACACACACACACACACTCTCTCTCTCACACACACACACGCTCTCTCACACACACACACACACACACTCTCTGGCACACACACTCACACACACTCTCACACACACACACACACTCTTTAGACACTCCAGTGAGTTAGTCACCAGAGGGGCTGGGTTTGTATTTACTAATGTTGGCCTGGATCCTGGATCAAATCGCTTCTCTCTCCAGTTTGAGCCTCTGCCCTGGGTGGCAGGAAGGATCGACCACCTCGTCTGAGAAATGGCTCCTCCGGCTGAGTGGCACTGAAATATGTGCCCAGCTTCGGGCATCACTGTGACTGTGCGTGTGAGTGAGGGTGTAACTCCCGTCCCCACTGCCTGATCCAGGCCGAGGTGGCATTAATAGCAGTTAGGTGATGAGTAAATTGTGTGCGGGCAGTTTGTCGCTGCCCTGCTTTTGTTAGAAGGGAAGACTGTAACATGGGCATATTGCCAACTGACAGATACCCATCGCACTGATCCCCGAGGAGAAAAAAAACAACCCTGTTTAATCCTGTATGAAAACAGGAGTTGCTGGAAAAGCTCAGCGGGTCTGGCAGCATCTGTGCAGAAAAAAAAAATCAGAGTTAACGTTTCGGCTCAGTTCTGAGGAAGGACCCGAAACGGTAACTCTGTGATTTTTTCTCCTTCCCAGACGCTGCCAGACCCGCTGAGCTTTTCCAGCAACTCCCGTTTTTGTTCCTGATTTACAGCATCCGCAGTTCTTTCGGCTTTTATTTAATCCTGTCTTAATCCAGCCCATAGGCTGGTGTTGGCACAGCAACCACCTTCACTACCTCACCTCGCTCTTATAGAAACATATAAAATTATGAAGGGAATAGATAAGATAGAAGTAGAGAGGATGTTTCCACTGGCAGGTGAAGCTAGGACAAGAGGGCATAGCCTCAAGATTAGAGGGAGCAGATTTAGGACTGAACTGAGAAGGAATTTCTTCACCCAGAGGGTTGTTAATCTATGGAATTCCTTGCCCAGTCAAGTAGTTGACGCTACTTCAGTAAACGCTTTTAAAAAAAAGATTTTTTTTGAACAATAAAGGAATTAAGGGATACGGTGAGAACGCAGGTAAGTGGATCTGAGTCCACGAAAGGATCAGCCATGATCTTATTGAATGGCGGAGCAGGCTCGAAGGGCCAGGCGGCCTACTCCTGCTCCTAGTTCTTATGTTCTTATGTTCTTATGAGAACTTATTCACGACAATAATTGCTAGCCCAAATAAGGCTGCAAGAGTAGCGGTGGGATGGGGGGGGGTGTCATTGGCCATTCCTCATGCTGCCGAACCAAGGGAGTATCAACAGCTATTCCACTGTGGAGGCATCACAGCTGAGCTCAATCCTGCACCACCCCCCCAACTACCCAACCCCCGCCCTTTGCACAGTTGCACCATCCTACCTCACTAGACAGAGGACAGGAATTGACCCATCTCCTTCCTCCCGAGCCCCAGGAGCGGAATGGGAGGGGATGGGGTCAGCGGAGGGGTAATTGTCGACGGGGCTGAGACCATTCAGCAAAGGCTGTGGGTGTGGGGGACAGCATCACAAACCCCAAAGACGGCCGTGGAAAGGAAATATTTTGGGACCATCAAAAAATTGTCCCGGTGCCCTCATTCTCTCTCTTCTCCCATCCCTTCTTGTCCCCTCAGTGACCTCCCCTCCCCTCCCCTTTCCTTTATTCCTGCTCCCTTATCCCCTCTCTCCCTATCGTTCCCCTAGCCTGAGCCCCTCCGCTCTATTTAGCCTTCCCCTCATCCTCCTGCTCCTCCTTCCCCTATCTCCATTCACCTTTCTTTCCCTCCTCCAAAACCTCCTATCTCCTCCATCGTCTGGTCTCCTACCTCTCTCTTCCCCTTACCTCCTCCCTCTCTATCTCTCTATCCTTTGCTCATTTGTTCTCTCCCTCCCACTTTCTCACCACACTGCAACAAGGGAACGTAGGAACAGGAGTAGGCCATTCAGCCCTTCGGGTCTGTTGTGTCATTCAGCGAGATCATAGCTGATCTGTGGCCTGTCTTTATATCCTTCGACACCTTGGATTCCTGAAAATTTCCCTCTCTCAGATTTCAAATTAACAACTGATCCAGCATCCACTGCCATTTTCGGGAAAGAGTTCCAAACCTCTCCCACCCTTTGTGTGTAGAATTGCATCCTAACATCTCTCCTGAATGGCCTGGCCCTCATTCTCAGCCTATGCCCTTAGTTCTAGAATCCCCAACTTAGTGGGAATAGTTTATCTTTATCTATCCTGCATTTTCCTCTTAGTATCTTGAAGATTTTGATCAGATCACCCTTTAAACTTCCAAATTCTAGAGAAAATGGGCCTAATTTGTGTAATCTCTCCTCGTAATTTAACCCTGAAGTCCGGGTATCATCCTTATAAACCTACACTGTGCTCCCTTCAAGGCCAATATATCCTTCCTAAGGTGTGGTGCCCATATCTGCTCACAGTGGGGTCTAAAAAAGGTTTTTGAAATCTGCATCTCATAGTCCAGATAAAAAGGCCAGCATTCCATTAGCTTCTTGATTATTTTCAGACCTGTTTGTGACATTTTAAATATCCATGCACCTGCCACCCCCTCAAATCTCTGGGACATCCATGGTGCATAGAATCCCTACAGTGTGGAAGCAGGCCATTCAGCCCATACCAACCCTCCAAAGAGCATCCCACCCAGACGCAGTCCCCCTACCCTATCCCTGCACTTCCCATGGCTAACCCACACATCCCCAGGGGCAATTTATCCTGGCCAACCCACCTTAACCTGCACATCTTTGGACTGTGGGAGGAAACCGGAGCACCCGGAGGAGACCCACACAGACACAGGGAGAACGTGCAAACTCCACACAGACAGTCACCTGAGGCTGGAATTGAACCTGGGTCCCTGGTGCTATGAGGCAGTAGTCCTAACCATTGAGCTACTGTGCTAACCCATAACTTCCTGCTATCTTGAAACGATGTGTAGGTTAGGGTGGATTGGCCATGCTACATTGCACCATAGTGTCCAGGGATGTGTAGGCTGGGTGGGTTAGTCACTGGGAAATGCAGGGTTACAGGGATAGTGTAGGGGGTGGGTCCAGGTGGGATGAAGTTTGTATGGTTGGTGAAGACATGATGGGCCAAATGGCCTGTTTGCACACTGTAGGGATTCTATGAGAAAGTACCTTGCTCTATCTTTTTTCCATCCAACATTGATAACCTCACACTTGCTTATATCCCTCCATCTGCCACAGTCTGACCCCTTCACTTAATCTCTCAATATCCCTTTGTAACTTGCTGCTATCAATGCTGCCTAAATTGGTGTCATCAGCAAATTGACAGAGATGACTTTCCATGCTATTGTCCAAGTCGGTAATAAGCAACTAATAATTAATTATCTTTTAGATAAAGCAATTGCCCCTAAAGCAATTGGGTGTCCTGAGGATGGGAAAGGTGCTGTATAAATGCATATCTTTCTGTCAGATGAAAACATTGGGGAAAAATGGCATTGACCAATTCAAAGGGTAAATCTTATTCCATTGCCCTTTCAGTAACCACTTAGTTTAATCCATAACACAGCACGTAATGATTTATCAATAACATACTTCTAACTGTATTTAATTCACTTGGAGCTGGCCTGAAGATTCTGGTTATTTCGATTTATGGGTCTTGACTCAGTTACACAATGAATTGATCATTTTCAAGTACATTTATCGCAATAGAGTGTTTCAGCTGTGTATACAGACTCAAAACCACTGGCAAAGT